GGGCAGAGTTTCAAAAACCGTTAGCGCGTTTTTGCGCAGAAAACTATTCAACAGTTGTATTCGGCTTGAGCCTGTCCACTTATTTTTCGGATATTTCATTTCAAATGAACACAAAAATCTTTTGAAACATTCATGAGGTTTCCCTCTAAAAGGTTGCACCTCAGGTAATGACATTGTTCTGATATAATCACTCATAGAGAAATCAGAAATGCATTCCTCACCTGTGCCCGATGATCCTCGAATTCTGAGTTCGCTCTTTGATTCCACGTTCTGCGTATGCCTTAAGGATCTCTGGGTCGATTGCATCGAGGTCGCCTGCTGCGAGTCCTGTAATAGACAGTCTAATCTAACACCTCTCTGTACCATGTGACTATTGGAATCATTATCAATATCATCTTGATCATCGCCTGGGTTTACGACTTGATTTCTCCCCTTTTCCATTCGCTGGCGCAGCTCCTCGACCTGCAATCCTTCTCTATTTAGTTCTTCCTTCATTTCGGAACTCTTTTTACTGAGACTGGCCGTAGTCATAAGCGCTTCGTCAGCTTTACGACTTATTTGGCTCAATGGGCACTCTAATTTTTGCGACAATTTGTCCAATGCAGACTTCATCTCTTCGCATTCTGTCAAATGATTTTTGAGGCGCTCCGCATCGCAAATTCCTGCGGATTCTAAAAGTTCTATCACTTCGTCACTTGACTTTGAACAGCACTTATCCCATATTTCTCTCAATGTAATGCGCACCACCTCTTTCACTAATGCGCTTTGCTCCGAAACAACTGCCATTATTGATTCCCTTTTTGGGTCGTCAGTCCGTATGGTCTTGGACAACTCATTGTCGCATTTGATCGCTATTGTGGGTAAAAGCGCCATGACTTTACGGCTCAGCTTATCGAATTCCTTGTAAGGATTCACCCAGGAGCCTGCTCCGGCTTCCTCCATTTCCATGTCATCCGGGGCCTCTGTATTTCTCACCGACGTATGCGGCGATCTCTCCGAACTAACTGGAGAATGCATATCTACAAGCTCAAAAATTGTCCCACGTCTATTCGTTATCAACACGACGCTAGTATTCTCGCGGATTACACGAATAAATCAGAATCGGGACACTGTTGCCACAACACTACAACAACCACTAGGTTGAAATCGCAAAGTGCTTTTATTGATCAACAACTACAAACAAGTAGTTGGAGCAACACTTAGTTGAATCGCGCCGTTCGCTTTCGACAACTACTCCCAAGTAGTTGGACTGCTTTCATTTAATACTGTGCTCTACAAGCTTCACTCCACAGCAACACTATGTAGTTGGGTCAGCCTTTCCTTTAGTAGAATTCACCTGCTTTCAATCGTGTCGTACGGGATGCAGGGCTTTATAGTACAACT